TTGCCCGGGACCTTCGATTGCCTGATCGCAGCGGACTGCGTGTACACTGATACGTGCGTCCCGGAGCTGCTGCGCACGATGTACGCCATCGCCACGGAAGACACCCAGGGTCCTCGTCGCCTTCCAGGGAACACAACCCCCGACGCCTCGCGGGCCTTCTGGGCGCTCGTCGAGGACTACTTCACCTTCCAGCGGGTACCTATGCACTGGAGAAGGTGACCGCTACACAACACAACACTCTAATGGCCGTGTACGTGTGGCCTTCATACTACAGGTGCCACTGCAGCGCATCGACACGCGGTACCGGGACTCGGGCATCAACCTCCTGGAGATGAAGAAGCGCCCTTCCTTGTAAAACGGATACTGTGTGCATGTGGAAATGATTGGAATCTCCAACCCACATCAGTTCTATCTTGTCTTCCGACACACGCGACACATTAGACGCAACATGCTCTCCTGTATTGTGATGGTGATACACACAGCCTCCTCTATGAGACAGACCCTTGAAGGTAAACAAAAAACGAACCACTAGCCGCCCTCTCTCTCTCCCTCTCTCTCTCTCTGTCCGTCTCTCTATCCCTTCTGGCCTAGTCCTGCGCAGGGAAGGCGCCGCGCCACTCGACGTGCGTGGCGAGCACGCTGGAGAGGCAGGCGTGAATGGTCTTGGCCGGCACGTTGGTGAAGGTCAGCTTCGTCGTGCCGCCCCACTCGTGGAAGTCCAGTAGGAGCACGTGGGCCGCAGTGGTGGACTCGAGGATCTTGTGGAGCTTCCGGATGCTCCTCGACCACTCGACCTGTCCGGTGCTCATGTTCGTCAACTTCAGGTCCGTGAGCGTGATGTTCAGACGCATCGGCGTCTCCGTGTCGTTGGCCTGTCCATCGTCATCGTCGTAGTCGTCACCATCACGCGACAGTCAGATCACCGATGTGCTCAATCGCACACAAGAAGGTGGCGACGGAGAGAGACAAACGAGTCCTTACCTTGCAGTCGTAGCCAACACCGTTGGCGCGCTTGGCCGGGTTGGCGTACTCGATGTGGGTGCGTAGGGCGTTCACCCAGGCTTCCTTGAG